AAGGGGTCACGTCTTCACTAGGGTGAAGGGGTCACGTCTTCACTAGGGTGAAGGGGTCACGTCTTCACTAGGGTGAAGGGGTCACGTCTTCACTAGGGTGAAGGGGACACGTCTTCACTAGGGTGAGGGGGCACGTCTTCACTAGGGTGAGGGGGACACGTCTTCACTAGGGTGAAGGGGGCACGTCTTCACTAGGGTGAAGGGGCACGTCTTCACTAGGTGAAGGGGCACGTCTTCACTAGGGTGAAGGGGTCACGTCTTCACTAGGGTGAAAGGGTCACGTCTTCACTAGAGTGAGGGGCGACACGTCTTCACTAGGGTGAGGGGCGACACGTCTTCACTAGGGTGAGGGGGACACGTCTTCACTAGGGTGAGGGGGACACGTCTTCACTAGGGTGAAGGGGGCACGTCTTCACTAGGGTGAGGGGGACACGTCTTCACTAGGGTGAGGGGGACACGTCTTCACTAGGGTGAGGGGGACACGTCCTCACTAGGGTGAAGGGGGTCACGTCTTCACTAGGGTGAGGGGCGACACGTCTTCACTAGGGTGAGGGGGGCACGTCTTCACTAGGGTGAAGGGGGGGTCACACCCTAGCTCCTCGGCACCAACTTCCTGGAAGCAGTCAGACCAGCGGGCGGCGCTGGTTGCCATAGTGACGACGCGCCTGAGGTGGTGCCAGTGCCAGCTGCCTCCTGCTGGCTCCTGCGGCCTCCTGCTGGCTCCTGCTGCCTCCTGCTGCCTCCTGCTGCCTCCTGCTGCCTCCTGCTGGCTCCTGCTGGCTCCTGCTGCCTCCTGCTGCCTCCTGCTGGCTCCTGCTGGCTCCTGCTGCCTCCTGCTGGCTCCTGCTGGCTCCTGCTGGCTCCTGCTGGCTCCTGCTGCCTCCTGCTGCCTCCTGCTGGCTCCTGCTGGCTCCTGCTGCCTCCTGCTGGCTCCTGCTGCCTCCTGCTGCCTCCTGCTGCCTCCTGCTGGCTCCTGCTGGCTCCTGCTGCCTCCTGCTGGCTCCTGCTGGCTCCTGCTGCCTCCTGCTGCCTCCTGCTGGCTCCTGCTGCCTCCTGCTGCCTCCTGCTGCCTCCTGCTGGCTCCTGCTGGCTCCTGCTGCCTCCTGCTGGCTCCTGCTGGCTCCTGCTGCCTCCTGCTGCCTCCTGCTGCCTCCTGCTGCCTCCTGCTGCCTCCTGCTGCCTCCTGCTGGCTCCTGCTGGCTCCTGCTGCCTCCTGCTGCCTCCTGCTGCCTCCTGCTGGCTCCTGCTGGCTCCTGCTGCCTCCTGCTGCCTCCTGCTGCCTCCTGCTGGCTCCTGCTGCCTCCTGCTGCCTCCTGCTGGCTCCTGCTGCCTCCTGCTGCCTCCCGCAGCCTGACGTATGACTCAATCATTGTTCATCAGGTATCGCTGATTCCTGATCATATGGAGGTGTTTATCAAGTTCTCTTTTGAACACTGTGAGGGGTCGGCCAGTTATGTCCCTTATGTGTAGTGGAAGCGTGTTGAACAGTCTCGGGCCTCTGATGTTGATAGTTCTCTCTTGAACACTGTGAGGGGTCGGCCAGTTATGTCCCTTATGTGTAGTGGAAGCGTGTTGAACAGTCTCGGGCCTCTGATGTTGATAGTTCTCTCTTGAACACTGTGAGGGGTCGGCCAGTTATGTCCCTTATGTGTAGTGGAAGCGTGTTGAACAGTCTCGGGCCTCTGATGTTGATAGTTCTCTCTTGAACACTGTGAGGGGTCGGCCAGTTATGTCCCTTATGTGTAGTGGAAGCGTGTTTAACAGTCTCGGGCCTCTGATGTTGATAGTTCTCTCTTGAACACTGTGAGGGGTCGGCCAGTTATGTCCCTTATGTGTAGTGGAAGCGTGTTGATCAGTCTCGGGCCTCTGATGTTGATAGTTCTCTCTTGAACACTGTGAGGGGTCGGCCAGTTATGTCCCTTATGTGTAGTGGAAGCGTGTTGAACAGTCTCGGGCCTCTGATGTTGATAGTTCTCTCTCAACGTACCTGTTGCACCTCTGCTTGTCAATGGAGCCATTTTGCACATCCTGCCATGCCTCCTGGGCTGATGTGGACTTATTTCCGCGTGCAGGTTTGGAACCAGTCTCACTATTATTGGCCAAGTGTAAATTATTATGTATCTTTCGTGTGAAGGGCGCCTGACAGCTGGGAGGACAGCGCTTCGGATTCGAAGTCCTGAGGTTCCGGGTTCGATCCCCGGTAAAGGCGGAGACAAATAGGCAAAATGTTTCTTTCACCCTGATGCCCCTGTTACCTAGCAGTAAATAGGTACCAGGGAGTTAGCTGCTACGGGCTGCTTCCTGGGGGCGGGGTGTAACAAAAAGGAGACCTGGTCGAGGACCGGGCCGCGGGGACGCTAAGCCCCGAAATCATCTCAAGATAACCTCAAGATGACCAAAAAATGAAAAACACCGCTATCATAGGGCCTAAACATCTTTTGGAGACGGAGCCTAGATCCTGGCGTCATCCCTGACAAGCTTAAAGCAGCGGAGAGCGCGCCAAATATTGATACTGTTCTTAAAAGATTTCCCCATTTTGCACCCGCAAGATAACGTAAGCTTTCAAGGGTTGATAGATGTTAATCTTCTTGTTTGAAGAGCTGTTCACTTGAGACAGTTAAGCAAGTCCCAGCTGTGTCTGGGTACAAGTGACAGGATGAACAACCCAGCGGGTTTTCTTCCTATTGGGGAGTGTTGTACATGCTGCTATGGCGGTGTGTCCACTCACAAGATGAGTGGCGCTGCCCAATACTGTCACTATGGTGGTGTGTCCACTCACAAGATGAGTGGCGCTGCCCAATACTGTCACTATGGCGGTGTGTCCACTCACAGGATGAGTGGCGCTGCCCAATACTGTCACTATGGTGGTGTGTCCACTCACAAGATGAGTGGCGCTGCCCAATACTGTCACTATAGTGGTGTGTCCACTCACAAGATGAGTGGCGCTGCCCAATACTGTCACTATGGCGGTGTGTCCACTCACAAGATGAGTGGCGCTGCCCAATAAACTCGTCCCTCGGGGCAAAATTTAAAATTTAAATTTAAATTTAAGCGCGCCACTTCACAAAGGAGGTAGTAAAGCAAATGCAAAAATTCAAGACTAATAACTCTAAATTTAAATATCATAAAACACTTTGAAAGTGTCGAGAAGATTACAAATCACATGGAATCACAGCGTTTAAATAAACCTGGCGAACCCATTTGAAATTGAAATAAGTTTATTGAGGTAAAATACAGACAAAGGGATGAGGTAGCTCAAGCTATTCTCACCCCGTTCAGTACATCGTGTTAATACATACATATAAACACATCACAAACAATAAACATATTACCAAACATTCTGAGAGATAAACATCTACATTTCCTAGCCCATGGGCATGGGGAACAGGCTTACAGCTTCCCGAAGATGAGACGAAATTCTAGTTCAAGTTTGTCTATTGAGACAAGAAAGAAATACATCTTAAAGGGATAGAGTAGCTTAGGCTATTTATGTCAGCACTGTGGAGAAATGCCCGATAGACCGCTGGTATATTATCTAACACAGTGCACAGTTACAGCCACAACAGACCACTGGAACATTATCTAACACAGTGCACAGTTACAGCCACAACAGACCACTGGAACATTATCTAACACAGTGCACAGTTACAGCCACAACAGACCACTGGAACATTATCTAACACAGTGCACAGTTACAGCCACAACAGACCACTGGAACATTATCTAACACAGTGCACAGTTACAAAACCTTTAAAATTTCAATTTAGATTCAAGAGAGGAGAAGAGAAGTAACGGGAGAAAGCACCGGCCCTGGAGGACAGGCATCACGACTATAACACTGAGAAGGAATCAGAATAAGGATTTGGGATGGGACGGGGGAAGGAATGGTGGCCAACTACTTGAACGGTTGGGGATTGAACACCGACCTGCATGAACCGAGACCGTCGCTCTACCGTCCAGCCCAAGTGGTTGGGCTGGATGGATTCACAAAAGAACAGAAGACGTTGTTAAACACATTGGGCATAATCTTCCTGAAGCGACCATACCAGTCATATATACTCATACACCGCTTAAGCACAACACAAACAAGAAACAAGTAACACTTAGTGGGCCAGCCAGAGGCTTAGGGCCCGCCCAGGGAAAAAAAAAGGATTCAGAAGAGGGCGCTCCTGCCTCTCTCACTGCTGGACCACTATGACATGGCCTACGGTGCCATGGAAGACAAGCACAACGCAGAATACACACAGACTTGCCACAAGCTTTCTGTGTTCAAGAGTACAATGGTTGTATTCTTGAAGTCACTTGTGTTGTCCCGTCTTGAGTACTGCTCAGTACTCACTTCCCCCTTCAGAGCAGGAGAGATTGCTGAAAAAGAGGGAATACGGAGAACGTATACGGCACGCATAGACGCGATAAAACACCTAAATTATTGGGATCGTCTCAAAGTTCTCCAAATGTACTCACTAGAAAGGAGACGAGAAAGATACCAAATAATATACACCTGGAAAATACTGGAGGGCCAAGTACCAAATCTACACAGTAAAATAACAACGTACTGGAGTGAATGATATGGAAGAAAATGCAGAATAGAACCAGTGAAGAGCAGAGGTGCCATAGGCACAATCAGAGAACACTGTATAAACATCAGAGGTCCGCGGTTGTTCAACGTCCTCCCACCGAGTATAAGAAATATTGCCGGAACAACCTTGGACATCTTCAAGAGGAAACTAGATAGTTTTCTCCAAGGAGTGCCGGACCAACCGGGCTGTGGTGGGTATGTGGGCCTGCGGGCCGCTCCAAGCAACAGCCTGGTGGACCAAACTCTCAAGTCAAGCCTGGCCTCGGGCCCGGCTTGGGGAGTAGAACTCCCAGAACCCCATTAAGCAGGTATCAAGCAGTTGTAGATAGTGGTGATAGGCAAGGGGGGGGGGGAAAGAAAGCTTGTACTACTCTGCGAGGGGAGGAAGGGGGGGGGGGTACTAAGCTTAGGGGGAGGGTACCTTGATGAGAAGGTTCAACTAAGTTGTTGAGGTCTGGTGTGGAGAATAGCATGAGGCCCCCGCCAGACATCAGAAAGCCACTCACAACAGCCACGAGGATCATACCTGCACCTGTGGAAGACAAACATAACAATATAATATTGGTTGGTGTTTATTGTTGGAGGTCGAGGGGGGGGGAAGGGAAGTGAGGGGGGGGGAGTGTGTACGTGGGGGTGTGCAGGTATGGTGTAACAGGTGTGGGGTGAAGGGGGTGTGGGGTGAGGTGTGTGTGTGGGGGGGGGGAGGGGTGATGGGAGAGTGAGGTATATACTTCACAGTGTAAAGTCTTAAGTAACATGATGTTTAACGGTGACAAGTTCCAGGTACTGAGGAATGGTGTAAACGAGGAAGTTAAACGAAACACAAGGTACAGGACACACTCAGACCTACTCATAGAGGGAAAGCAACATGTAAAAGATCTGGGAATTGTGATTACTTTTAATTATGAATTACGACCTGACATTTAGTGAACATAACCGAGCAAATATAGCGGCGGCGGCCATGACAATGATAAGATGGATTACGAGAACGTTCACGTCCAGAGACCCCACTGTAATCTTGAGGTTATCTTGAGATGATTTCGGGGCTTTAGTGTCCCCGCGGCCCGGTCCTCGACCAGGCCTCCACCCCCAGGAAGCAGCCCGTGACAACTGACTAACACCCAGGTACCTATTTTACTGCTAGGTAACAGGGGCATAGGGTGAAAGAAACTTTGCCCATTGTTTCTCGCCGGCGCCTGGGATCGAACCCAGGACCACAGGATCACAAGTCCAGTGTGCTGTCCGCTCGGCCGACCGGCTCCCCTGCTAATACTATTTACATCACTGGTGCTGTCCCGTCTCGAGCACTGCTCAGTACTCACCTCCCTATTCAGAGCGGAAGAGATATGTGAATTAGAAGGAATACAGAGAACATACACGGCACGCATAGACACGATACAACATGTAGATTATTGGGACCGTCTCAAAGCTCTCAAAATGTACTCACTAGAAAGGAGACGACGACAAAGGTATCAAGTAATATATACATGGAAGATACTGGAGGGCCAGGTCCCAAATTTGCACAGGACAATAATAATATACTGGAGCTAAAGATACGGAAGGAAATGAAGAATAGAACCAGTGAGGAGTAGAGGTGCCATAGGCACAATCAAAGAATACTGCCTGAACATCAGAGGTCCACAGCTGTTCAACACCCTCCCAGCAAGCATTAGAAATGTTGCTGGAACAAAGATGGCTATATTCAAGAGCCACTTAGATCAATTCTTGCAAGAAGTGCTGGACCAACCAGGCTGTAATGGATATGTGGGCCTGCGGGCCGCTGCAAGCAACAGCCTGTTGGACCAAGTTATCACAAGTCGAGCCTGACACTGGGCCGGGCTTAGGGAGTAGACGCACTCCCAGAACCCCATCAAGCAGTATATAGGTTTTGTCGCCACAGAATGTGAAGGGCCTGCGACAGTGGTTTTTACAGTTCTTGATGAATATGGAGTTCCAAGAATCCGGGCCTGGTGCAGAGTGCATAGGCATACTGTTTATGGCTTCTTTAAAATCCAGTGGAGATAGGGTGACGTCTGATATATGATTTGATGTTGGTATCACATCCATGAAAAATTCATTTGCGTTATCAATCTTTAATGTGTTTAGTGGCTCGCTGAAAACAGAGTCGTATTGATTCCTCAGTATTTCGCTCATTTCTGTATTGTCATCGGTGAAAGTTCCATCTCCCTTTCGCAGGGGCCCGATACTAGATGTGTTTTTTTATCTTGATTTTGCATAGGAGAAAAAATATTTCGGATTTCTCTCTATTTCACTTATGACCTTTTGCTCTCTTTGCCTCTCCTGGGTTTTGTATGATTCTTGTAGCTTGAGTTCAATTGTTTCTGTTTCTCTACCTAACCTTCTTCGCCGTTCTTGAGATAGGGTGCGACTCTCAAGTTGTTCCGCGATTAGTTTTCTTCGCCTATAGAGGGAACGACGTTCCCGTTCCAATCTACACCTCTTCCTCTTTGTTTCTTAGGGGTATGCGGTTTAAACATATTTCTAGTGCAACTGAGCTTAGTTTTTCCAGGCACTGGTTCAGGTTTACATTTTCTAGCTGTTCTTCCCAGCTTATTTCTGTGAGGTCTTGGTGTATTTGCTCCCAGTTAATCTGTTAGTAAAATTGAATTTGCTGAACTCCCCCCCCCCTGGGGCACGGGACTGGTTGAGGTCTGCTCCCCATGCTGGTCTGAACTTCAATTAAGTTGTGATCTGAGTAACAGGTATTTGTAATCATTATGTTCCTGATCAATTCATCGTTGGTGGAGGGCATTTAGCTGCTCCTCACAATTATCTCCCTTCCCTCCTCCTCCTCCTACCTCTCTCCCTACCTCCCTCTCCCTCTCCCTCCCTCTGCCCCCCAGCAAGATGGCCGCACCTGTTGACTCCCTGGCTAAGGGTGCAGACAGCGGCAGGAATGGTGCCAAGTGTGGGGTCTCCAGCAGGGTGTGGCACTCCCACACCTGCCACTCCCACACCTGGCACACCTGTCTTGCTACCATGGCCTCGTGCCCCCCCCCCCCCCCCCCCCGTCTCTCCATAACGTATCTCCCCCTCCAAGGTGAATATAGGCCTAATTTAAATATAGGCCTAATGAAATACAGGCGTAGTGGAATATGAGTTTTATAAAATATAGGCCTACTTGAATAGGTCTATATGGAATATAGGCCTAGTGAAATATAAGCCTAGTTGAATATAAGTCTTGTGGCTACCGTGTGGTGCTTCCGAGGATCAACGTCCCCGCGGCCCGCTCTCTGACTAGGCCTCCTGGTTTGTGGTCTGGTCAACCAGGCTGTTGGACGCGGCTGCTCGCAGCCTGACGTAGGAATCGGGCCCCACGGCCATTGATCCCTGGAAGCTACACAAGGTAGCCATCTCAGCCTATCCTCATAGCTTAACCCTCTTAGCTCCGGGACCAGTCTTGTGGCAAACCTTTGTACCTTTTCAGTTTCGGCTCCATGCCGGTGCTACACCTGCATGGAACCACACACCTGTATGGTGTAGCTGCCTTCTGCTCTCCTCTCTCCTTTTCGCATCTGCATTACCTTGCACTTGTTGGGATTGACTTCAAGCAACCATTTTTGTTACCAATCATGGAAGTTGGTGGTTGTTGTGGTAGTGATGGTAGTAATGATGGTGGTGGTAAACGTGACGTTGGTAGTTATGGATAGGTGGTGGTGGTGGTGGTTTGTGGTGGGTGGGGGGAGTGGTGGTGGTGGTGGTGGTGGGTGGGGGGAGTGGTGGTGGTGGTGGTGGTGGGTGGGGGGAGTGGTGGTGGTGGTGGTGGCCGCGTCACTGTTCTGGGAAACTCTGGAAACGAAGTTTGCCTCATATTCCCAGAATCGGCCGCTCCCCCCCCCCCCTCCCCCTCCCTTCTTCCCCAAAGAACCTTCTACCTCCCTCCCTCCTGCCTCGCTCCCTCCTGCCTCCCTCCCTCCTGCCTCCCAAGTGCCTCCCCCCCCTCCCCCCCCCCCCCCCGTGCTTCCTACACAGCCCCCGGACAACAAGGGCGCGGGCCAGGGCGCCTCTCACCACCGCTACACCACTATGCTTGTAAAAGCACCTTCATCACCTTCAGTGATTAAGTGCTTAATTGCACACTAGTTTCTTTATCAGCTACCTCACCCTGTCAGGGTAAATGAGACAAATGTATGTGAATGCATGTATGTGTGTATATATGTATGTGTATGTGTGTGTGTGTATGTATATGTATGGGTATAAAGCAAATATGGAAGCTGATCAGAATTACATTTCACCTTTGTGAATGTACATTAATGACACTATGTAAAAGACACATCTAATACTTTATGTAGGACATACGTAAATCTGTGTATCTTTGTATTTACGTATGTAGGTTAGCTTAGCATTTTAAAAGCACCGAATCACCTTCTGTGGTTGAGTGTTCAATAAACCCTTGAACTATATGTTTAACACTTCTCTAACCCTGTCCATGGAGGACAGAAGAAAATGTATATATGCTGGTTAGCATTGTAAATGTGTGGCCACGTCTGTGGTAGAAAATAAAAAAAAAAAACAAAAAAAAAACACCACTATGACATAAACATTGACACAATACACACATATGTTGCAAAACCTTTCGACCAATGTGGACAATAACGATGAATTGATCAGGAACATAATGATTACAAATACCTGTTACTCAGATCACAACTTAATTGAAGTTCAGACCAGCATGGGGAGCAGACCTGCCCAACCAGTCCCGAGCCCCATGGGGGGGGGGGAGTTCAGCAAATTCAATTTTACTAACAGATTAACTGGGAGCAAATACACCAAGACCTGACAGAAATAAACTGGGAAGAACAGCTAGAAAATGTAAACCTGAACCAGTGCCTGGAAAAACTAAGCTCAGTAGCACTAGAAATATGTTTAAACCGCATACCCCTAAGAAACAGAGGAAGAGATGCAGATTGGAACGGGAACGTCGTTCCCTATATAGGCGAAGAAAACGAATAGCGGAACAACTTGAGAGTAACAAACTATCTCAAGAACGGCGAAGAAGGTTAGGTAGAGAAACAGAAACAATTGAACTCAAGCTACAAGAATCATACAAAACCCAGGAGAGGCAAAGAGAGCAAAAGGCCATCAGTGAAATAGAGAGAAATCCGAAATATTTTTTCTCCTATGCAAAATCAAGATAAAAAAACACATCTAGTATCGGGCCCCTGCGACACAGAGATGCAACTTTCACAGATGACAATACAGAAATGAGCGAAATACTGAGGAATCAATACGACTCTGTCTTCAGCGAGCCACTAAACACACTGGAAATTGATGACCCAAATGAACTGGTCATTGATGTGATACCAACATTTGTGTATACTAATGTCGGAAGACCTTACCTTTAAAGAACACAATAAAGTAGCCATCACAACTGCAAGAAAAATGGCAGGTTGGATAACAAGAACTTTTCAAATTAGAGATGCTATATCAAAGATGATACTCTTCAAAACGCTTGTGCTCTCTAGAGTGGAGTACTGCTGCACAATGACAGCCCCTTTCAAAGCTGGAGAA